ATTAGATCCTGTTGAATGCCCCCACAATGACAAGGTAGTCCTGGCCTTGGATCTTAAAGGAGCATTCGACAACGTGAAGCATGAGGTAATCCTTGACCACCTCAGTCAGACCAACTGTGGTTATAAAACATTCAATTATGTTAGACAGTTTCTTACAGACCGTCGAGCCTACATACGCATACAAGATGAGGAACATGGGCCTTACGTCATCGGCTCGAGGGGAACTCCTCAAGGCGCGGTCCTCTCTCCCCTCCTATTTAATATAGCCATGCTTCATCTTCCCCCCAAATTGGCTTCTTTACCAGGGATACATCACGCTCTTTACGCGGATGATATCACGATCTGGGCCACGCAAGGTAACCTGGGTCACATGGAGTCATGCCTGCAAGCAGCAGCGACTGTAGTCGACGACTACGCAACCTACTGCGGACTCCAGTGTGCCCCGGCTAAGTCAGAATTTGTGCACGTACGTCCCTCCCCTCAGGACACAACTCAGCTCCATATCAGTCTTCCCTCGGGACCGATCCGTGAGGCCAAGGAGATCCGCGTCCTTGGCCTCTTCATACACCACCAACGCAAGGCCGACACCACAATAGCCAAACTTCGCACGGTGGGAGACCAGGTGGGCCGTATGGTCCGCCGGGTCTCCAACAAGCGGGGCGGATTACGAAGCAGGGATGCAATGCGGCTTGCCCATGCTTTCGTAACGAGTAGAATACTCTACTCGACTCCCTACTTGCACCTACGCAAACACGAGGATGATCAACTCGAGGTCATCCACCGTAAAGTTATCAAGCGGGCTCTCGACCTCCCTATCACCACGTCCAACCAGAGACTTCTGGCCCTGGGCGTGGTGAATACCTACCGGGAACTTCGAGAAGCCCACCTCGTTAACCAATACACGCGCCTTGCACAGACCCATTCCGGTCGCCGCCTCTTGGACCGAATACACATCAAACACGATTACTATATTGAGGAAAGGGTGAGAGTGCCAGAACCTTGGAGACGCGCCCTCCGGGTCCGACCCCTTCCCCGCAACATGTCCAAAGAAAACCACAGTGGTCGCCGCCAGGCGCGCGCGGAAGCGTTGCAGCGACACTTTGGTCAAGAGGAACACGTGTGCTACGTGGACGTTGCCGGCCCGCACCATGGGGGGTGGTATACTGCCGCAGTCATACACAACGCAAACACCGTAAACGGGCTCACTTTCAAAGCCTACAGCGCAACACACGCGGAGGAGTTGCCATCGCTCTGGCTCTCACCTATCCCTCTTCTAAACATATCATCACCGACTCACGAGGGGCCTGTCGGAACTATCAGCTAGGGTGGGCTTCACCGCTTGCTCAGCGCATACTGGAACCTAGCTGCCGATACGTTAATCCAACTCCGCGAAATCTGGTTTGGGCACCCGGTCATCAAGGACTCAGGGGTAACGAACAGGCCGATCAGGCCGCCCGCGCACTCTCTTCCCGGGCTATCTCCCTGTCTTTGGAAGCCTACTCACAATCAGACAATTCGGCCCTTTCATTCAAAGATATTACCAATTACTACAAGGAGGAGCACCGGCGCTATCCAGACCCTTGTAAGGGACTGCATCGCGCTGACGAGCGCCTCCTTTTAAAACTGTTTACCAATACTGTACTGTGCCCGGCGGTGCTAAAACATTTCAATTCATCCTTTGATGGCACGTGCCAGTTCTGTGGTGAGGTGGCTGACACCTTTCACATCGTCTGGGCGTGCCAGTCTAATCCATCTATCCCCCCCAACCCCAATCCCACGAGAGAGGACTGGGAGGCGGCCCTGCTCGGCTGTCAAGACCTGAAGGCCCAAGAGGCTCTGGTTCAACGTGCGCGGGCGGCGTTGCTTGCCAATGGAGCCCCGGAATAGGGGTTCCACCTAGTGCTGTGAGGGTAGGAGGCCAATAAGGCCCCAACCCAATCACCTCTCTGTAGCCATTTAATGGTTATTAAATGTTTTCACCACCACCACCACCCTCAACAAAGCTGCAAATATGTTTCCATGAGAGCACATTTCACTTTCGTGCTATAACCAATTACCGCTTAATGACAGGGACTGTCTTTGTCCCCTCCTGCTTATTGTTTAGGCAAGTATCATACATCGACACATCAGTGATTCTTTCGACTATGGATTTATATATGCTGTGACAGCAGCACGTAACGGCGCTTATCATGTTGCGATGTTCTCAAGAAAAAACTGCCTCTGCAGGCCATACATATGAGCTGTTACGGTTCACCACAGGGTGCGCACACTGGCACTGAAGTAAATACACGTTCTACGTTCTTTCGCGCTCTCGGATTAGCATGAGTCGCTTCTCCACTGGTGATGACACACAAATTTTTTTTATTTTCTTCACCGTATGACAAAGAAAGGTCTAAATAGCTGTGTCACTATGACAACTCAAGGTAGCAATGGCATTTATCGACGGCGTAATGAAACGGAAGAATGGACGGAAGAATCTACACAGCAACCGAAGTTTCGCGCTTTTAGGCGACGTTGCAGTGAATGAAAAATGTACTTTTTCAACAGGTCCAAAGGCGTCCCCTGTAGCCCCTTGAAAGCAGGCTTCATGCAAATTTTGTCGCACAGTGGTGAAGCCATTTCTTACGAAAATTCATCAGTTTTACGCTTGCGTTTTCATTTTTTATTTTATTATTTATTAGTAATTCGTGTGCCTTAGACACAAAATTTCACATGTTGGACGATCTGTTACTTTGCGACAATGGTACAGGCATTACCTTAACGTCGTGTGAATAAAAATGGAGTTCTGTCAAAAGGTAGGAGCGAAGGTGCGCAGCAGTTTGCGCCAGCAGAGTTAGACTGAGAGTGGGTGTGGTCATATTGTGATCTGTTTTACTCTTTACAATTTTAGCACACTTGTTTAACAAAATAAGACACCAGAATGACACGAGCGCTATGTCCATGTCGTTCTTCTGTCCGCTGTTTTGTTTAAAAAGTGTACTCAATCACAGCAAACTTTTGCCTGGCTCGTGTGGCAGAAGGTACAAAAACTGACAAATTTTTTCAGCTGCTAAAAGCGGAACAGTAACACCTATATTTCTAAAAAGACACAACCTGGTTCTTGGGCATTGATTAGCAAGATGCGTTTCTAATTTCAATTTTGTGACGGTATATTGCTAGAAGTGTTGAAACTAGATGTAGCAAGCTGCGCAAGCGTGTACCGCTTAAAGTGCTTAAGAAGTGTGATGTAGGCGCCAAGCAGAGAATGCGGGTGCCAAGTTAGGCCGCTCACGTGTCAGGCTATAATATAGACTTATTGAACGGGGAGCAAGACGCAATTATTAGATATCTAAGAGCGCGATTAGCTTCGTTAGGGAGTTTCGTAACACGAGAAATACATATACCATAGTCTATTGCTTCGTTAATAAAATGTTTACAACTTTTGGAAAATACAATAAAATGCGAAGCGAAGGGCCGTATCCAAGACTATCTCGGCTGTATATATAAAATAACACCGCCTTCTAGATCTCGTTTGCCTATGCATGGTAACCAACGCAAAGTAAATTTTTACTGCTCTTATCCGACATGATGCATGTGGCGACAGCTCAAGCAGCAATTGGTTAGTACCTAGTGACGTCACTAGTGTCATCGCGACGACAACATTTCGAATGTGTCCAGCGTCTGTTTTATTAAAGTGCACAGTTCATTCATGTACGATATTCCAGCACGCTCGCAGTAATTTGTGCTCCATGCTGACAACTGTCAAGCACAGTATGTAACACCACGATACGCGCACGTCATCAAAGAAAAGGACGAAAAAAAAATAGACATGCCACACAGGTGACGACCGCAGCATACTCATGATAAGATTGCGTGACGAATATGACTCGTTGATGGTTCCTTCGCACACATTTCACAGAGCTCTACGTTATACAGTCGCTGAAGCATGTCAAACAAGCCAACGTCGAGCGCGGACTCTACACGAAAATGCTGGAGCAAGTTTCTCTGGTTTGTTCTATTTCGCACGTTGCGAAATAAATTCGCTGTCGACAACTTTTTCATCTCGTGCAATACACGTAGAAACTTCAGTGCGCTTCGCGGATGGCAAATTGGAAAGTCAGAAAAGTTGTTGCAGCGAGATCAATGTGCGTACTCATTCTAGCTTTTTTAGTGAATAATAGCGCTGACATTGAAGCACTTCAGACGTTTTCAGCTTGTTCACAGTCGCTTCTTTGTGACAACAGGTTGATAATACATTACCGGAAGCTCAGTCCTTTCCAGCTGCAAATGCTTTTTGAAATGCCTTGCTTTCATTTTCATACATTTGCAGCCCTCTTCCGGCGAATCTACATTTTTCCTCTCGCGCCAAGAAACCTTGCTTTTTGCACGACTGACTCGTTCGTCGCGTATCGTCATCTTTAAAGTGCAGGGCTAAACGAACATCTCCGCAGGCTTACACACACAAAAAGCACAAAAAAGAAAACACTGTCACGGCTAGCTGTTAACGTGATCATTCTCCCGCCGATTCGTTGTGACAGACCCCGCGGAGAAACAACAGAAATTTGGGCAGGGATGAACAACAGTGTGCCAGCTGCCTGATCTGCGTCACTGTTTCGGTCGCGCGCAACAGACAATAGTGTGTACAATAACAATAGCTGTTGTGGTTCTACGTACCAGGACCGCTGTGTGATTATGAGAGACGCCTTAGGGGAGGTCTCCACAATTTTCGACCCCTGAGGTTTTTTTTAACTTGCACTGCAAGCACGCAGGTCTTTAGGTTTCCATTCCACCGAAATTCGGCGACCGCGGCCGGAGTTCAATCCGGCGAGGTTGCGTAACACACGAATCCACGTGCGCATACGAGAGCCGGATCACTTTAATGACCGACAAACAGCTTTCGAGCACACGATCGCCATTTCCCAAAACAAGCTAGTAGGCAACTGCGCGTCGCTGAAGTAGAGGAGAATGGTGAGAGGGGAATCTAGTCGAGCCCGCTTTGGCAAGCTGCCGCACCCTCGACTGGATGAAGCAACGTAGCGGTCGGCGAGCGGCCTTGCCTAAGGCGACCACGGGGCCTGAGCGTCAGCGATGTCGTCGGAGTGCGAGCATGCGTGACCTCGTCGAGGACTGGCGGTGGTCGTCGCACGCGAAACGTGATAACCGTGGAAACCTCCCTGGGCTAGCGCTTATCGCCCAGAGACGCACGCACGCTGCATAGATACGAACGGAACGCGTTCCTTGACGCCGTAGCGAACAGCTGCGACGAAGCGAGCCAGCCGCACTCTCGCATTTCCACGTGTTTCAGCACCGTGCATCGAAGAAATGCGCGTCGTCTGCTGCGGCGGCGCCTGTTGATGCTGCTGCTCTTTGACAGTGTGTCGTCGGTTTTGCATCTGAGCGGTTTACAAGACGGATCAACAGGCATGGCGTTCCCGATCGACTCACCCGTGAGTCCGTTTGTTTTTCTTCACCACCGTGCCGTGCAGTGTGCCTCACGTGTCTCCCGTATGCCACATGTCACGTGTTTAGAGCTGGCTTTGTCCTTGTCCGCGAATGGGGGAGGGAGATGTGCTCACGTCGGTTGGTATGCAGCTGGCTGGTCGGAGTACGAAACACGGCTTCGCACCCATGCCAACTGGTTCCTTCTTGTGTGGAGATGTGCGAAAGAGCGCCGAGAAGCGGACCATCGCGAATAACTGTGCACCGTGGCGATGCGTTTCCTTAATGCATCCTTGAGGGGAGTAACAGCGGGCACGCTGCAGCGAACTAATTGTCCGTGGTGTGCTTCGCTGTCATGCATTCGAATGGGAGGCAAGAATGGAAATGAGTAAGTGATACAATACTCGACATGTGCAGTCAAGCGCTCTTGACTGCGTGCGTCAATTACTGTCAGTGCACCTAATATTGCTGCAACATTAATTAAAACCAGCAGATAATGAAGCCGTGGAAGGTAGAGGAAACGTCACTGCTTTAAGTGTATTGTAGTAGTTGTGATGTATACGTGAAGAAAGTAAAGTGGACGAAAAGATAACTTGCCGCTGACAGGGAACGAATCTGCAACCTTCAGCTTAATTATCTGGCGGTTTTCATTAATTTTTTGTCAAACAAAGCAATGAGCCCTTGAAAACGATCTTTATTCATTCTTTACATTGTAGGCTATGTAAAGCGTGGTATTGTAACGTGTAATTCGTCCCGACTGATTGGTTCCAGCGCTCGTATGTGTTGTCCTTTCTGTATCCGTCCACCTCAAGGCGCTGCACTACATACAACAGTGGCAACTTAAGTACGAGTTCGAGGTAACGTGAAATCCATTTACGTTGGTTGCGTAGCTACTGTGCACTTCATAGGAGCTGCCACAGTGGTACAGTGGTCAAGGTTCACGGCCGCGAAGGTCGCATTTCGATGAGGCCAAATGCTAGAAGCCGGCGTGCTTCGAATTAGGTGCACGGTATAGAACACCGGATGGTCGAATTTTTCGGAGCCTTCGATTATGACGCGCTTCAAAATAACATAGTGGTTTCGGCTCGCGGAAAACCAGCGATTAATAATTATACGCATTCTAAGCTCATACGTATGTGCCAACTCGAGTGAGCGTATGCGCAGATATATGCTCTAACTTATAATTCACTGATTGATTGATTGATATGTGGAGTTTTAACGTCCCAAAACCAGCATATGATTATGAGAGACGCCGTAGTGGAAGGATCCGGAAATCTCGACCACCTGGGGTTCTTTAACGTGCACCCAAATCTGAGCACACGGGCCTACAACATTTCCGCCTCCATCGGAAATGCAGCCGCCACAGCCGGGATTCGATCCCGTGACCTGCGTGCAAGCAGCCGAGTACCTTAGCTTCTAGACCACCGTGGCGAGGCCAACTTATTCACTGGCCCCGCGCAACTAAAGCGCATCAAGCGGGAAAGCTCTGCCTGCCTTGATTTAATTAGTAACTAAAGGTGTTCCCCAGATGAAGCTGAGGCAGTGCTTTTCGCATTAGAATCTCGGGAAATCAGGCGTAAAATTAGCTTAGGGGACACTAAAAGGAAGCATTGAATCGGATTCGATTGATCGTTTGTAGTTTAAAAACTCTAGCGACGTTAATTTCGATGACTATCAACACAGAAGAAAATCAAACTGAAGCCTCGCTTTTAAATTTCGTGCGCGAAATCTCTGCGTGTGATGTTACGGATTTCAAAGTGTATTTCTCGTATTTTTGGAAACGTTGCAATGTCGCCAAAATACAATACGAACTGGCGAAACTTCAGTGAGCCCATATGAATCATATCTATTTTCGTATCATCATATAGGAGATTATTCGATATTTGTTATATGTCTTTCGCGAGGTTTTTCGAAAGGGTACATCGACGAAATTTTCTGAAACGTGGAGCATGGTACACGTTAGGTGTCTGGCCGGTCTTACACATCGTTTATACAGATTATGAATGGCGCGGGCCCAAGTACACACCGTGAATATCTGTGGCGTCTCGGCGATTGCTGCGAGAATCACACCCGCATTTTCTTTTCGCACGTTATGATGCACCGGGTACACCTCTTTCCGTTCAGTGTGCGACTGCTACACTTGAAGCTTATGTGCTTTATCTCTGGCATACAGAGTGAGCACGTATAGGGTGTATGCGCATTCGGCTTACACGCAGTGCTCTCTCTAAGTGGTTTGGTTGGTGACCCCTGACTTTAACGATATAAAGTTAACGTCCGGTGGTTCCAGTTGATGACGCGTTCTGCAAGTCACTCAATTTACGCATCAAGAGTAGTCAAACGGTAGATTGCGTAGTCGAATCAAGTGAGTGACATACTAAGTAATATAATATAGGGAGAAAGATACTAATACTCTTGAAATGTTTAATCTAAAGCCCGAGTGTGTGTTTTTTATAAGCTTCAAAAAAAAACAAAAAACAAAGGTGAGGCAGAAAATGTCAACATTTGACATTTATGCCTCCCCTGTCTGGTTGGATAATGAGCATGGAATAGTTGCCTGCAGTGCTGCTAGCGCAGATTAATCACTGCAGAGCAGAAACCGTCATATGACACTTCTAGGAGTCATCGAAATAATTCTATTCTCGGGGAGTTAATTAGGAAACCGCGCAACTGTTCTCAGTTTAAGTGGTTGCCGCTATAACTTCTACATATAGATGTTAATTACAACACTAGTAATTAATAAGATATTGTGTGGTAGGCCTAGATTACCCTTGTCAACTGCTTCGCCACATTTATTTCACAATCAGCGATTTTAGAGCCTCATTTTGGTATGCGAATATCGCTGGAAAAACGATGCGTTTAACTTATGTACGCCTCACAGATTGCATTCTGATCTTTCTTTATTTCTTCATCTCTTACGAATCAACTATTTTGTGCACACAGTGATGCATTCGAATACACTCACCACACCTCAACTCTTCTCTCAGTACTTACCTCCAGAGCGGTGAATCAGACTGCCTATAATAAATATGTGCACCGTAGGTGAGTGATAATTAAAATGTAACCTGTATTTCTCCTAGCACAAAAACGCACTGCTTTGACCTTTTATTAGGTCATGACAGCATTCATGCTTTTCGTGCCGACATGGCACACGGAAAGCAACCGGCGAGTGCTTATATAGTATATGTGCCATTGTATCTCATTGCGCCCATGTCACGACACTTTTTCACGTTGTGTTAATCTGTTAGCCACGTTAACCACGTTAGTTAATCTGTACGATGTCTTCTTGTATTCTCCACGCTTTTTGTCACCCGAATGATTACAATGTAAGTGCTGTTCGTCTATATAGACATTGCAGCCAGATGTTACTATATTTTTTCCACGAAGCGTAGAAAGCAGGAAAAAAAAATGCGTCACTGCAATATTGTACTATCGGCGATGTTTATTGCGTCGAGGTGATTTTTACTTCAGCTTCTTCCCCGGTTCAGCGAACCGCCACGTTCAAAGTTTGAAAGCTCGCAGCTGCATATTGACAGCGCCCCGCCGTGATGGTCTAGTGGCTAAGGTACTCGGCTGCTGACCCGCAGGTCGCGGGATCGAATCCCGGCTGCGGCGGCTGCATTTCCGATGGAGGCGGAAATGTTGTAGGCCCGTGTGCTCAGATTTGGGTGCACGTTAGAGAACCCCAGGTGGTTGAAATTTCCAGAGCCCTCCACTATACGGCGTCTCTCATAACCATGTGGTGGTTTCGGGACGTTAAACCCCACATATCAATCAATGCATAATGACAGCGCCACCGCCTGCGAGCGTTGTTTATAAAAAAGAAAAGAACTATATATGCCACTGGAATGACGATCAAGAAACACAGTGAAAAAGTTATACGGCAAAACATTATATATATTTTTTCCGTGATGTGCGTGCGGCCTCATGTGAGCTCCAAAATGCGATCTCATTAGAAGTGTTCAATATACGTGCATTTTATTTCTGTCGACAAATTTGGCGTGGATACCGCGTACGGCTGCATCCGGTGTTATGCAGGGTGTCACTATACTGCAGGTGCATATTGCGATACTTCTTCGCGACTGACAATTTATATATATATATATATATATATATATATATATATATATATATATATATATATATATATATATATATATATATATATATATATATAATATATATATATATATATATATATATATATATATGTGTGTGTGTGTGTGTGTGTGTGTGTGTGTGTGTGTGTGTGTGTGTGTGTGAATAGACGACGAGAAACGCAAGTCTTTCACAGGACGCGAACTCGAAGCTTGACTGCACTAACAGGAAGCGTTAGACAGGTGCATTGCCTGACAGTTTTCACAACAACGACATAGCCGCATTTCAAGACTAAAGAAAACAAAATCGCAAATCTACGTCGACTCTTTAAACACAGCACTCGTGTTTAAGCGCCGTTTCGTTCGAGGTTAGCTTAAAAGGCCATCTCGGTGTTGCAACTAGGCAATGCGCCCCCCATGCATCTCCATCCCCCCCCTCCCCTGGGTATATTGTCGCATCTACAAACCTTCAATCAATGCTCGTTTACCTTATTTCAATATGGGAACAGCAGCATTGTTGGGTCTAACCTATGGCCTCTTTTAATGAGCTACATTTATCCCATTACACCATCAGTCGAGACTGCATTTTATACTCACTCACAAAATCTCACAACTCTTACTTCTCATGAACAAAGTAATTATGTGCTTGTCACGACGTCATTGTCTGCATTCTTTTTTAACCTTGTAATAATTCAAATAACCAATGCTCTTACATAGTTCATCGAGTGCTGCGTGACGTATATGACCCACGCATGCGCCCGAGGCACTCTGGAATGAGGACCGTACAACGTTGATTAGTGATAGTGATATGAACTGCCCAACACTGATCCGATAGGCTGAAGTGTTAATCTGTTGGCAGTTGCCAAACTATATCATTTACGGAGGAGAATCGGGTGCAGATGCACGCATCTGCA